TATATATATACTGTATATATATATATACTGTATATATATATGTATATTTGTGTCACTGAACATGAAAATTGTTCCTTATATCAATGGTAAACTTTAAATTCATGATTAAATGCAATGAAATAAATTTAAAAGGTGGAAGATAATAACAATTGTTCTGTCCCTGAGTTGTTGGCTTTAAGTAACCGAGCAGTTTAGTTGGATAGCACATCATTAATGTCTGGAAATAAGCTGCTTTAAAGTCACCATCAACCATAAACTAAATCTGTCTTAATGTATACCAGCTACTCACCATAAACTCATCAGTGAGCAAAACATTATTAGTTTTACTTTTAATAATATTTCTGTATTTATTTCAGATTTAGTCAGTCATACACTTAGTTGTTATCAGTGTTTAAAAGGACATTTTAAAACTCTGTTTGGTCAAAGCTCATTACACCTGGCCCTTCGACGGCCACCATAACGCTCATGTGGCCTTCAGTGAAAATGAGTTTGACACCCCTGTTTTAAATCATTTTTCTCTTTAATTTGATTGGAAAAATAACTAAAGTTCAATGACAAACATTTAAAGTCCTTCAAAAACCTTTAAGTTGACACTTCCTCAGCTCATTCCTGAACTTCTGGTCAGACCTAAAGTGAAGCTCTACACACCTCTGTGTCACAAGCGTCCATGAATAAAACATGACTTACTGTTGTGAGCAGGGCAGGCTCCATCCAAGCTGCTAAAACTGACTCTAATCACATGATGAAAACTGTGTCATTGTCTTCATCGTCTTTCCAACTTTGAATCTGCTGCCCTGTGTTGTGACAACCTGCCGGTAGAACACATCCTCCACATCAGAACTTATTGTGTCGTTGGTCAGAAGTTCGTGTCTGTGTTTGTTTGTGCCGTAAACCTCCGAAGCTGCATTTTACTTCAACCACTTGCTTCTGAAACAAAAACACAAACAACAACAAAAAACCCACTGCCCACTTAAGTCGACTGTTGTTCATGGACTCAGACATTTATAAAGAGAGTCAAACGGTCTAAAACTCATGAATGGAGATAAAACAGATGATGTGCATGAGAGAATCTATCTGTGGAAAAGTGTCGAGCTTCAGCTGGGACAGATTTGTGGACAAATAGATCGGAGGGTTTTGGAGTGTAGTGTCCAGCAGGAAGAAACCCCGAGCAGTGACTGTCCTGCAGTGGGAGGGGTCGGAGTGTCTCAGTGTGTAAAAATGAATCCTGATCACGAGCGCATCATGTGTCGACTGTTCCGCTTTGACTGGAGTTTGTGGAGGCCTTTAGGCACTGACATGTCACATCTAACATGCAGAAGTGGCCGCCTGTCCTGAGCCTGGTTCTGGTTCTGCTGGAGGTTTCTTCCTGTTAAAGGGGAGTTTTTCTTCTCCACTGTCACCATTGATTCTAATGATTGCATATTTACTGTGGAGGTCGGACCGGACCGGACCAGAGCAGAACCGCATGTAGTGTAAATTGGGGGTCACAAACTTTTTTGCTCTTCGAGGGGTCTGTCTAAAGTTTGACCTTTATCAAGGCTCCGTATCATTTCACATCTGTCCATATGTTAACAAGCTATTACATGTTGTTACTGTGCTAAACAGGAAGTGCACATTCAAAGTAAAAGTGCATAGTTTAAAACAGGAAGTCAATGGTTTCAGTACAAAAAATGTTTCAAAATAAAATACAATTCCTTCTGCTGCAAAGAAAAAAAAGCTCGTGGTTATTTACAGTCAGAGCTCTCTGTTCAGAGCAGCTCAGTTAGAAAAGATAAGATACTGAACAGAACCCTCAGAGCTCTGGTACAGGCCTGAGTTTGTGAAGTGGTCAAATGGAGGAACAGGGCAAACAGGGAGATTGTTCTCTACACCTGATCAACAGCTAGTGCAAAAATATTATTCAACTGATACATTCAGCAGATTCAGCATAACTGTCCACACACTTCTGTGAAATAACAAACATTTTGTTACTAGAGAACAATATGACAAACTGAACAAATGATGTCTTTCAAAAGTGGAGTTTTACACATTTGATTTGCCCAATAATACCCAGTGAAACATGATGCAGCTGAGAGGTTTCCTCAGAACATGAAACATATTTGAGGGTCTTTTAGAAATATACAGTAGCCCACCCAACAGAAGAGGTGACAACTGTTACTGGTTACTTATTAAACAAACTGCAACTTCTGTTCCTGCTGGTGAGCAGACGTGCCTGAGGAAGAAGCCAGTTGCTCCTTTTCTGCCTTGTAAATTGAAACAAGAATGAACAGTGAATAATAAAAATGACCTTTATAAAAATATTGTGTTGTTTTTTTACAGGGCAGTACCATCCCCATCAACCAGGCCAGGCCAAATCGGAATCTAACGTTCACCAAGAAGGAACCAATAGGGTGAGCAATAACAACTCTGATGCTTTATGTATGATTCATTTAAGATTATATTGTATTTTCATAATAACTTCTCAAGAGAGCTTCGATCATTGGTGTGAACATCAAACTGATCACTGCTGAGAACAACACAAACTCTGAGCAGGTGAGGAGGTATCTTAGACTCCATAGTCTTACTGAATGTCTTCAGCCCACGGCAGCAACAACTGTGTGACCTGAGGGATGTAACTGAGGACAATCTGAGCATGGCTCTTTCACTGATAAGGATGCTGTGCCATCTGCTGGTGAGGGGGGAGAACCTGCCCCGAGGGGAATAGATCAAGTATTTTGTGACTGAATGAACGAGTGATGGGAGGAGGGACTGTGAGATTGACCTCAGACCCTATATAGATCAGTGCTTGTCATGTTCATTGATTTTGCCTTCAATTGGTCGATTATGGTCTATATTTTAATGCAATTTAAATTAGAAAATTTAAATACTTAGTTAATCAATTTGGCTACTTTTTTCTCTGGTGAACCAAGTCTGGTCTCTCAAACCCTCCACCCGGACACTATAAACTCTGGACTGTGTAACAATTATATTCAGTCATTGTGTCTTTAAGAACCACAAATCCTTCCTTGTTATTTTCAGAGTGTGTGCCATTGTGATTCCTTGGAACTACCCCCTGATGATGTTGGCCTGGAAGACTGCAGCTTGTCTGGCAGCTGGAAACACTGTAGTCCTCAAACCTGCTCAGGTTGGACTCGTCCTGGAAAAAAAAAAAAACTAAGAAAAAAAACACTCAAAGCAGAAAATTAGAAAAGCACCTGAGTCATTTTTATTGTTGTGTTACCAGGTTACTCCACTTACAGCACTGAAGTTTGCTGAATTGGCAGCAAGAGCGGGGCTGCCTAAAGGGGTGATTAACATTCTGCCTGGCTCAGGTAGGAATGTGTGAACTCAACCTGGTTAAATTATTAAAAAAACATTCATATCATTCATTGTTTTCTTTTAGGTGCTTTGGTGGGCCAGCGTCTGTCAGACCACCCTGATGTACGGAAGCTGGGCTTCACAGGTTCCACTGAGATTGGTAAACACATCATGAAGAGGTGAGAGAAGGCCGTGTGCAGGTCTGAGTGTTAAAACAGGAACAACACGTTCACCTGTCGGCTCCATGCTTTTTCTCCAGCTGTGCAGTCAGTAACGCAAAGAAAGTCTCTCTGGAGCTTGGAGGAAAGTCCCCTCTTATTATCTTCAGTGACTGTGACCTGGACAAAGCAGTGCGCATGGTGGGCTCATTTTGTCCTCCTTTAGCAGATATGTCAATGTTTTCACAGCTAAAACCAGTAAGTTGTTGTCTGTGTATTGCAGGGCCTGAGCTCAGTGTTCTTTAACAAAGGAGAAAACTGCATCGCAGCTGGCAGGCTGTTTGTGGAGGACTCCATTCATGACCAGTTTGTGACAAAAGTGGTATGTGTCTCAGAGCCATTCAGACTTCCTCACTGACTGTGGAAATGAGCTGCATGGTTTAGATTAGTGTGTGTGGGTGGGCTTAGGGCCATGTGTGGCGGGATGACGCCACTCCCGCCGCCTGGGCCCGTGCCCACTCCCAATGGTTGCAGTTAGACATCTAGGGCTCCTGGGGTAGAGTCGGGGTGGAGGGAAAAACTGGCTTCATGCTGGCCTCTGCTCCTTCTTCTTTCCCCTCTTAATTACATTATAGAACACCAAACATCAACAGCACATTTGAGGGTTGGGGTGTGCGTGTCAGGGTCTCCCTTTTTTAAATTTATTTATTTTTCCTTAAGTAATCCCCCCACCCCCCGCCCCCGTTGCCCGACTGCCATTTCGGGGGCATGGTCCAGAGGGGCGGCGGGCTGTCGGGTGGGGACCCGGGCTGCTGGTGGGGTTTGGGGCCTGGGGGGGTTGCTGGGGAGTTTCCGCCGCTCCGTGCTCCCTGGGGCCATTTGGACCCCCCTGACCATGGCTCCTGATTGCTGCGGTCGGCGCGCTGTCCGGGGGTGGCTGTCGGGGTTTGGCGTGCGGCTGGTTGTCGGTGGGGTGCGGGGGTGGTCGAGGGTATGGCCTCCCCGCGGCAGGGGGGGTTGGCCTGCCAGCCGGGCGGGCCTTGGGTCGAATCTTGGCTGTCGGCTCCTCTCCACCCCAGACAGAATGGGTCTACCCCCTGGGTTTGGATTTGGACTGCCCCCTGCTGGGGGCGGGTACATGTCTTGAACCTGGGGGGGATAGTGTATGTATCGGGAGCGTAATTTGATTGTGTTGTTATTGTATGTCTTTGAGTGAATGAGTGTGAGGATGAGGGTGAGATGGTATGAATGTGTTTGTGTATGATTGGGTACTTGTCAGGCTGGGTTTTTGACTGCCCCCTCTGTCATACAGCGGGGTTTTTGTGCTTTGCACCCCTGCTGCACTGCTCCCTGGTGGGATGAGCCCCTCCTTGCCGGCGTGCTTGGGGACCTCTCTGTCTGGGGCTGAGCACCTGGGCGTTTGTTGGCTTAGCCCGGTGACTGCCTGGGGGGGCTTGGGTCCTCTGGTCCTGTTGGGCCGTGGCCCGGGGGGGTGGGTCCTCGGGGCCCGGTCCTCTGGTCCTTTGCCTGAACCTTCCTTGGTGTGGCGGGCTCCGGCGGGGGCTTATGGGTTTGTCGCTGCTGCCCCCTGGGGTTTCTGCATGTGGCTGCCCGTGGAGCTTTTCTGGTTCCCGCCTGTGGTCCAATCTGGGGGGTGGGTGGGTGGTTCGTCCTACGTGGGTGGCCCTGAGGGCTCTGTGCTCAGGGTCGCTCTTGGGGTCTCGGGCTCTGGCTCCCCTCTTTGTCTGCCTCGGGTCTTGGGGGCTGGATCTTGGGCTCTTCACAGTCACTATTAAATATTCTACTGGAGAAACCTTGGATAGGTATCCATGCTCATAACACATAATGGGGTGTGGGGATGCATTTGTACTTATAATACATACAGGCAGTAGTATGTCTTTATGTATATACTGTATATCTGTGCGGTTTTTGGTGGGTGTGGAGGTGTGGATGTTAGTGGGTGTCTTGTGGTCTTATTGAATATATTTCTTACATTTGTATTTGAAAAATAGATTAGTGTGTTAACATCATCTCCTTGTTCAGCGCTGATTGATGGTTCATGATCCACAGTCTGTGATGGTTTCTTTTGAACCTGAAACTGTTTTCATCTTTTTAAATCCTTGTAATAGTTCTCTTCTATCATGTTGGTTTCAATGTCTCGCTATGGCACAGGTATCAAACTCTGGTCCTCATGAGCCACTATCCAGCATGTTTTCTTGTTTCCCTGCTCGAACACACCTGGTTTGCATGACTGGATGATTACCAGGCTTCTACAGAATTTGAAGAGGAAATTGAATCACTGAATCAGGTGTGTTGGAGCACAGAAACAAGGAAACTATGCTGTTAGTAGCCCTCGAAGGCCTGAGTTTAACACCCCTGCAAAATAGAATCACCCCCTCTGTGCCTTAAATGGGCAATATTATGTGTTTCTCAGGCATATATTTAAATACCATACCATGATAAAGTATCTATGTCACCTTTAGCTGTTATTAAAATGCTGTTTTTATGTTTAAATAGAAAATAAACTTATCTTCTCATCGCTTCCTCTTC